ATAAAAACAATGTTTTCACATATTAAAAAAAAAAAGAAAGTCTAAAAACAAACAAAAAAATTTTAAAGCAAAAGCCTAATTCCCATTCTTGCTTTTCTGGAAAAGTTGATGAAAATATGACCCATCAAAATAAGAGACTATATGAAGAAAGTGAATAAAGGTGTTCATCCATCATAGATGAGCAGTAAGAGAGAGTCTAAAATTGGTAAAAATTATATCTACGTAAAGTACCAGGATGGGAGCTGTGCAATAGGCCTTTAAAAGAGGCCAGTCTAAGTTAAAACCAGAGGACTTTGATTTCTATAAGGAGGATCTTCAGGAGGGAAATTGAAGCTGTAACCTTTTCAGGTTGGACTGACCATGTGGAAAATTTTATAAAGTTATAATTAAAAAAAAATGAAGGAGCCCATTTAAGACTCTAGGTATGCACATCTGTTAAAAGACTGCTATCCAAAATATACAAAGATCTTTTAAACCTCAATAATAAGAAAAAAAGATTTTAATGGGCTAAAGACTGTAAAAGATACCTCATCAAAGAAGATATACAGATGGCAAATAAGTATATAAAAAGATACTCCACATCATATGTCATCAGAGAAATGCAAAATTAAATGAGATATGATTACACAACTATTAGATTGACCAAAATCCAAAACACTGACAATACCAAATGCTGTCAAGGATGTGGAGCAGCAGGAACTCTCATTCATGGCTGGTGGGGATGCAAAATGGCACGGCTACTTTGGAGAACATTTTGGAGGTTTCTTATAAAACTAAACATATACTTACCATATGATCCAGCAATCACACTGCTTGGTATTTATCCAAAAGAGTTGAAAACTTATGCCTTACAAAATCCTGCATATAGATGTTTACAACATCTTTATTCATAATTGCCAAAACCTGGAAGCATCCAAGATGTTCTTTAGTAGATAAGTGGATAAATAAACTGATACTTCCAGACAACAAAATATTATTCAGCACTAGAAAGAAATGAACTATCAAGCCATGAAGAGACATGGAAGAACCTTAAATGCATATCACCAACTGAAAGAAGCCAATCTGAGAAGGCTACATACTGTATGAGTCCAACTATATGACATTCTGGGAAAGGCAAAATGATGGAGACAATAAAAAGATCAGTGGTTGTCAGGGCTCGGGGGTAGGTGGAGGGATAAACACTCAGAGCACAGAAGATTTTTAGGGTAGTGGAAATACCACAAAGAAGGACATGTCATTATCCACTTCCCCAAACCTATAAAATGTATAACGCCAGGAGAAAACTGGAATGTAAGTTGTGGAATTTGGGTAATTATGATGTGTCTACGTAAGTGTATCAACTGTAACTGATGAATCATTCTGGTGGGAGAGGTTGATAAAGGGTGAGGCTCTGCATGAGTGGGGACAGGGAAGTCTCTATGCCTTCCTCTCAATTTTCCTGTGAACTGAAAACTACTCTTAAAATAATCAAGTATAGAAAATAAAGTATTTATACAGTTGACCCTTGAACAATGCAGGACTTAGAGGCACCCAACTTCCAGCTGTTGAAAATCCTGTATAACTTATAGTCAGCCCTCCATATGCCAGATTCCTCCATATCCCTGGTTCCCCTATACCTGTGGTTTCACATCCACAGATTCAACCAACCATGGATTGTGTAGCACTGTAGTATTTGCTATTGAAACAAACAAACAAACAAAAAACCTTGAATAAGTGGACCCATAGATATATGAATATATCTATGAATGAGACACAATGCATTCAGTGCACTAGGAGGTTAGTCAATAATCTGAGGATTTAGTCAACAAACATTTATACCAATAATTTGCAAAGCATGGCAATATATGGATTAAAATAATTTTTTAAAGTTTGTCTTCTTTTCCTTCAAGAAGTTTTCAGTGTAGTGGTGGGTGGAGAACAGAAATACTGTTAAAGATAAAAAAAAATTCAGGTGTGAATTGAGTCAGGGCCAGCTAACCTCAAGGTTTCACACTGGTACATGAATGGATGTTATGATGCAAAAATGTTCCTGTAATTCTTTTTTATCAGTAACAGCAGCATCCTAAATACTAGAGCCCTAAGTAGTTGTCTTAGATCAGCAGAGTAAGTCTGTTCCGAAATTAATACATAAATTTATTTAGGATAAGTGACTTAGCCTCTGTGCATTCCTCTGGAAGGTAAAAAGTCCATCCTAATAAAAAAGTAAAACAATATAGCTTAAAGAACCAGTGTCACAGGAGAAACATTTAATGCTCCAATGTTCCTTAGATTTTGAGAGTTAATAAGAAATGTCTGAAGTACCACAAAGCTGGCCTTCTTGTTAAGGTCCTTTGTAAAGATAAGCTGACACTAAAACACCTTTTTGGTCTTTGTCTTTGTCAAGATAAACTTCCTTTTTAGACAGACGGCAGATTGCTAAATGTCAGGTTGGCTTTGGGGCAGACTAATTCAGATGGTGTCAACATAAATAGGTGTTGACTTGTTGTGGAAAACCAAACTAGACCAAAACAAAGGCCAAATATTTTATTATAGGCAATCTTGCTTTCAGATCATATTTCCTGTGTTATTCATGCAGTTTCTTTTTTGTTATTACTATCAATATTTGCATGAAAACAGGATCTCTGTTGCTTAGCAATTTATTATTTTTGTTGTTCTTCTGTGTTGAAATTGTTTTAGTTTTCTAGTAGGGAAGAGAGCTATCTGAATTCTCTCTCATCTACAAAATTTATTTCATTTTCAAATCTGATAATGTTTGTTTTGGAACAATTCACTTAAATGTTCTTCAGACTTATATTTCTATTCCAATTGTCACCAGAAATGAGTTGAGAAGATCCTTGCATTTGGTCATTGTTGCTTTCTGCCTTTTCTTTTTTTTAAATTTAATTTTTTTATTTTATTAATTTATTTTATTTTTTTATTTGGAATTACTCTATACGTACTTTAATCACTGAAGGTCCCTGGAAGGCCCTTCACTAAGTATTTTTGGTAATTGAGATAAACTGGGGGAAAAACAGATTTCAGCAATAGGGAGCTGGCTAAATATGTTATTAAATTTATGATACAAATATACAATGAAACTATTGAGCTGTTAGCATTAAGATAGACCTAAATGTACTGAAATAGAAAAATGATGAGAATGTATTAAAAAGTGTGTGTGGCAGGGGGAGGAAGCAAGTGGAAATACATATATGGTATAAACTCATTTATATATAAAATTGGGTTTAGGGAGAGGGTAGACAGAACTGCTTTTTCATTTTATATCCTCTGTTCTGTTAGTTGTAGGGTTTTTTCTTCCTACAATTGACTTACCACTTTTATAATTTAAAAAAATAATATTTAGTACAATCAAGAACAGGTTCTTATTGTCTCATTTTTGTAGTTTTTCTAATAGTTGTTATGATAGCTGTAGCGATATCAGACTGTAAAGTTATGAGAAGGCATTCTTAGCATCCTGCAAAGTGACAGACTTCAAGAGGATCCCTTGTCTCTCAATAACTCTCACAGACAGAATCTGTAAGATACCCAGGAAATGAGAACCCAGTGATTTGGGTTTAAATGATAACATCTTTCATTATAGAATATATGCCCCAAGGGTAGTGAACACTGGTTTTGGTGCCAGCAATAGGAAATGCAAGAACAAGATATCTGCACTTTAATGTCATCCGTTTATCCTTTCTCGTTCAAACGAAATAACATTTAGGCATCTTAAATAGCATGTGCAAATCAGCTCTTCAGCCACCCCAAAAATGCCCCTTTCCCCAAAAAAAGAATCAAAGCATCATGTCCAGACAGAAAATTTTCCAGTCTATGTGAATGAACTCAGCTCAAACTCAACATAAATCTTTATCTACTAAACTGACACTACAGACGGACTTTCCACTGCTCCCTTCCCCTGTCTAGGTCACTCTGGTTTCTAAGCTGATTTAAGTTGATTAGAGGCATAAAGAACACCATGATGGTTGTACAATTCTCTGTTGGTCTTTGAATTTTGACAAAAGAGGGAACTAATAACTCTGGTTATTGTTCACTGTCAACAGTGTTTCTGAGATACACAGAATAAAATTTAGATCACTGGGCATCCCATAGAGAGAAGGGGGGCAGTGAGGCATTGTACAGAGAAATCTGGACTGAGTGTCAGCAGAATTAAGTTCTAGTCCTGGCCTTGTCAACCTGAGTGATCATCAGCAAGACATTATTTTTCTGGGATTTAATTATTTTATTATTTAAAATATGTGGAGCTAGAGCAGAGGTGTTTTATGTTCCTTCCTATTTTATGAAAACTTGGTTCACGATGACTACACATGCTTTTGGTTGGCTGCCCCAAATGCCCTACAAGTGGTACCACACTCAGGTCTGGTCTCCTGGGCATGGTATCTAGTTCTACAGTGAAACCTACCCTGCTACTTTCTACCCTTCTTGCTGTTAAGCTGTCATACTCAGTTAGACACAGTCAATTATCTTGCAGCTTATCTGCAATATAAACACAATACAATTATTTTTCAGATCTGCGAAACCAGGTCTTGATAAGTTGCTTGCCAGATTGGGACAGGGTCCCTTCATCTCTAAAAAGATTGAATTGAAGTAAACAGTTCTTGAAGCCTCATTTTCCAATAAGACAGTATGCATCTATTTAAGAACTCTACATGTCTCAAAGCAAAATAATGACTAAAAATTAACAGTAGACATTTGAAGAAGAAATACAAAACTGAGGCGTTGTCAGCTCTGCATCACGTGGCATTAACCTAGCTTTGGAGGTTAGGAGCATTCAACAGATTAAGAAATGTTATAGGAAAAATCCATCATCTAGAAGCAACAGTTGCCACACATTGGGGATCACCCCCTTGAGTCAGCCTGATGATTCATTATGGGGCCAGCTTGTTGCCAATATGACCATAAATAGATCACTCAACACTGCAACAGGAAGGTTATTTGATGTGCACTGAGCTAGGCGAGTGAAGGGGTCGGCTCCTGTTCTCTGATTGCCTTTTTTCTCTCTGTATTTCAGCAGCCTTCGTAAGCCTTCCTCACTCAGTAAAACCTCCGACAGCCCCTGGGGAGAGGTGAGCTCAGTTTTCTCCTCCCTCCCTCCTTCTATTCCTTGTTTCTTTTGACAAGCATGAGGCTTCTCACTCAGTTCTCCTCCCTCCTTTGGGTTATAGGAGAAAGGAGGTGGTTATTGAATGTTTCTCAGTGACACCTAAAATCTGGGTAACAATTTGGTAAAGAGCAAAGGATTTTTACTCCTTTCTTCCTTGGACCACCATGAAAAGCAGTGCCTATTAGTATTCTCAGGTGGTTTACACATTCTTAGAGATGATTGTTCCTCAGTTGCTTTAAGAAGGATGAAAAGAATCATCTAAGCACTAGGATATTCAGACCTTACATTAAAAGTTTATATTGATATTTATATTTAATATTTTTATAGTTATAGCTATATAACTATCCATAGATATATATGTGTGTATATTCAATTATGTATATTCCTGTATGTGTGCTTGTGTTCAACATATTCTTCTTTCAAGTGTATGTCTATGTGTATCTGTGTTTAACCCTTAGAATGCCAACCTATCATCCATTAACTCTTTGGCTATGAGGTCCATTGACTTGTACTTTCACATAAAACATCTCAATGCTCTCTGAATTAGTAACACAGCGTAACCCAGATACTCACACCTTTTATACAAGCTTAAAAGGAGGGAGATAATGTATCTGATTACCAAAGAAACTGAATTTAGGCTGGAATCTTGGCAGAGGGGTGGAAATTATTTCATGAGTCACTACTTTTTCATTAGAAGATATAGCACTAACCCACTAAATTCTACTTAAGGTTTTATGTTGAACTCAGGTGACATTTAAATTTTGGATGTTATGACAGATTCAATGCCCTATAGAATGATCAACCTTATCATGAAATCCTCCAAAAATAATGTTTCATATTCAGAAATGCACTTTATTACATGTATTAAATTCAGTGAATTTATATTAGAAGCAGAAAATGTTGGAAAATATTCCTTAGGAGTAAGTTCTCTAAACATCAAAATTAGAATAAATTTGTCATACCTAAACAAGTCTACTGTTTTAAACTGAGCTCTTATTGAAGGAAGACAAAGATGTTGGAGACAGACAGAAAAAAAAAAACAACCAACTTATTCATCTGTTGCTCTTTGAATAGCCTGAGACAATGGACATTCCCAGTAACAAAAGTTTTATTTTGTTTAGAATATCAAGTATTTCTAAATAAAAGAATAGTCACTGTATCATTATTTTGCTTTTAATCAGCCTGATTTGTGGACACATGCTAGAGAAGAAGTTGACAAGCATCCACTAAATAAACAGGTTTCCCTGCATTAGAAAACGATTTAGGAGTCAGAATGCAATTAGAAACAAGTGACCTGAGAAAAGGTCACAGAATTCTGTGGTGGCATTATTCCTCTGCAATGTTTTCTATCACCTATGTGTGTACCCGTGCAATGCTCTGTCCCAGAGTAGTAAAAAAATAGTTGGTAAGAAAAGTCTTTGTTCTTTCAATTATTGTTATTATACAAATAAAGCCATATTTTTTTTAGTGCTCACTAGCATGTCTTTAAGGAAACTGTTTTGAATTAAAGGTAGTCATATTTCCCATTCTCTTCTTTCTCTACTGGATCTCCTTCCAAAAACTTTAGCAATCAGATCTGATATTACTGCTTGAAATTTTATTAAAAAGAAACAAACAGGGCACGAATATTAGGAAGCTCCCTTTACTGAAACATCTAGGGATAATTAACAAGAGGAGAGATACCGAACAAACTCAACATGCCTGTACACATCACTTTAAAAGAAATTTACATTTTATTATTATTTTTTTAACTTTTTATTTTATATTGGAGTAGAGACAATTAACAATGTTATGATAATTTCAGGTGCACAGCAAAGGGACTCAGCCATACGTATACGTGTCCATTCTCCCCCAGACTCCCCTCCCATCCAGGCTGCCACATAACATTGAGCAAAGTTTTAAAAGTATGCACACCAACAATGAAACGGAGGGATGCAAAACCATGGATGGCAGCACGTCAGAGACCAGAGACTGATAACAATAGAATCAGGAAGGTTAAGGCCAAAGGAAACCAAAAGGGCCTTTCAAGCTATATTTGGAACAGGAAGATGAATGTAGAAGGTAACTAGTTGGGAGTAATGATATAATGTTATCAGATGGTGGAGAAAAGGCAAAACTACATAAATAACATTTTGCTTCTGGAAAAATGGTGCTTGAACCGAAAAAGATATTTTAAAAATCAGCAAAAGGGATAAGAAATTTAAATTAAAGAGAAAAGGATTGAGGAACCTGTAGCCATGTTTAGTATTCATGCCTAGAATAATTTCTTCCCAGAAAACAGGAAGCTTTTGGAGGTGTGATTGTCAAAATGCAATCTGTAATCTTGTAAAAGCTACAAAAAAATTGGAAAGTTCATGAAAGGTTAGTGATACAGATTTACTCTATTTTCAAAAGAAAAAAAAATGGAATTCTGCAAAAATAGAGTTAACATCAATCTCACAACACAAAAGCTACACATGAGTTCCTGTTCCCTCATAAGGACTGTAAATATCTACGGTACGAAAAACACTTTAAAAGAGAAAAGTACCACACTCTAATGAGCCTATTATCCTAACAAAATAAGTACCTTCACTTTTGTTCATTGCTTCCCAATTCTCACCTACACAAAGATACACTTCTTTTGCATTTGCAGAGAGTAAGCCTACATTTTTAAGTGTATTTCTTTAATTTCCCATTATATCAATATGGCGTGTTTTTAAAATTTTTCTTAGATTTCACAAGGATAAATTTAAATGAATATATAATATTCTATCATATACATGTGTACAATTTAAACATTCATTTATTATTAAACACTTTTTGCCTTATAAATCATTCTGAAATGATGATTTAATATATATAGCTTTTCCCAATTTCTTAGAAGAGTTGATTTGAACCCCATCCCCAAAATGGGTTCAAGAGATCAATACTTATAAACGCTGTACGAACCTAGACATATGCTACAAAATTACACTGTAAAGTGATAATGACTTATTTTGAAACCAGCACTATTTTATAATCATCTTGACAGCACTGTGAATTATTATTCTGATTTAATTGGATGGAAATTTTAATAGATATACAATGGAACTCCAAGATGATATGTGTATTTATTTAGTTTCATGGAGGCAAAAATTGCCTATAAACTTATTTATTATTTCTCTTGTGTGTAATATTCCTTTATGAATTTTGTGCATTAATGAGAGTCAAAGTTTCCTTTCAAATTGTGTTTTATATTTTATATTATATTATGTTATACATGATTTTTCATATTTGGATTGATTCCTTGATCATTTGTCTCTTGTAATAGTCTTTATTTTAAAGTCTATTTTGCCTGATATAAGAATTGCTACTCCAGCTTTCTTTTGATTTCCATTTGCATGGAATATCTTTTTCCATCCCCTAACTTTCAGTCTGTATGTGTCCCTAGGTCTGAAGTGGGTCTCTTGTAGACAGCATATATACAGATCTCATTTTTGTATCCATTCAGCCAGTCTATGTCTTTTGGTTGGAGCATTTAATCCATTTACATTTAAGGTAGTTATCGATATGTATGTTCCTGTTACCATTTTCTTAATTGTTTTGGGTTTGTTATTGTAGGTCTCTCCCTTCTCTTGTGTTTTCTGCCTGGAGAAGTTCCTTTAGCATTTGTTGTAAAGCTGGTTTGGTGGTGCTGAATTCTCTTAGCTTTTGCTTGTGTGTAAACGTTTTAATTTCTCTGTTGAATCTGAATGAGGTCCTTGCTGAGTAATCTTGGTTGTAGGTTTTTCCCTTTCATCACTTTAAATATGTCCTTCCACTCCCTTCTGGCTTGCAGAGTTTCTGCTGAAAGATCAGCTGTTAACATTATGGGGATTCCCTTGTATGTTATTTGTTGTTTTTCCCTTGCTGCTTTAAATATTTTTTCTTTGTATTTAATTTTTGATAGCTTGATTAATATGTGTCTTGGTGTGTTTCTCCTTAGATTTATTCTGCATGGGACTCTGCACTTCCTGGACTTCATTGACTATTTCCTTTCCCATATTAGGGAAGTTTTCAACTATAGTCTCTTCAAATATTTTCTCAGTCCCTTTCTTTTTCTCTTCTTCTTCTGGGACCCCTATAATTCAAATGTTGGTGCATTTAAAGTTGTCCCAGTGGTCTCTGAGACTGTTTTCAATTATTTTCATTCTTTTTTCTTTATTCTGCTCTGTGGTAGTTATTTCCATTATTTTATCTTCCAGGTCACTTATCCGTTCTTCTGCCTCAGTTATTCTGCTATTGTTTCCTTCTAGAGAATTTTTAATTTCATTTATTGTGTTGTTCATCATTGTTTGCTTGCTTTTTAGTTCTTCTAGGTCCTTGTTAAATGTTTCTTGTATTTTCTCCATTCTATTTCCAAGATTTTGGATCATCTTTACTATCATTACTCTGAATTATTTTTCAGGTAGACTGCCTATTTCTTCTTCATTTGTTTGGTCTGATGGGTTTTTACCTTGCTCCTTCATCTGCCGTGTGTTTCTCTGTCTTTTCATTTTGCTTAACTTACTGAGTTTGGGGTCTCCCTTATGCAGGCTGCAGGTTCGTAATTCCCATTGTTTTTGGTGTCTGCTCCCAGTGGCTAAGGTTGGTTCACTGGTTTGTGTTGGCTTCCTGGTGGAGGGGACTGGTGCCTGTGTTCTGGTGGATGAGTCTGAATCTTGTCTTTCTGGTGTGCAGGACTGCATCCAGATGTGTGTTTTGGGGTGCCTGTGACCTTATTATGATCTTAGGCAGCCTCTCTGCTAATGGGTGGGGCTGTGTTCCTGTCTTGCTAGTTGTTTGGCATAGGGTGTACAGCACTGTAGCTTGCTGGTTGTTCAGTGGAGCTAAGTTTTTAGCTCCTTTGGGTAAATACCAAGGAGCATGATTGCTGGATTCTGTAGTAAGAGTGTGTTGGGTTTTGTATGAAACTGACAAGATGTTTCCCAAGTGGTTGTACCAGTCTATATGCCCACCAGCAAT